AGTGTTCGCCGAGCTCTTGACCGAAGAGAGCCACGCGCAATGTTCGTGATAAACTCCATCAACGTGGGTGGTTTTCCTGTGCACTCAGCGGATGTGTCAGAGTGGAAAGAAGAACCACAATCGAGATCCATCCTGTAAGAAGCTTTCCTTTAAACAGCTTTATTGAGGTATCACTGACACATAAACCGCGCATATGGATGTTCACCATTTGGTGTTTTCACACCTTGGTGAAGTGACCACCACGCTCAAAATAAGGTGTTTCCTCTGGCTGCCATTACAAAGCGTGACCAACCTAGTGGCTTAAGACAACACAGATTTAGTATCTTATAGTTGTGGAAGTCAGAAGTCTTACGTCCGTTGCACTGGACTAAGAATTAAGGTGCCAGCAAGGCTGTGATCCTTTCTGAGGCTTCAGGGCAAATCTGTTTCCTTGCCTTTCCCAGCAGCTAGAGGCTGCCCACACTCCTTGGCTTGTGGCCGAGTGCCCCATCTTCAAAGTTGGACACTGCATCTCTGACCGTTCCTCCATAGTGTCATCTCCTTCTCCAACTCTGGACCCTTCCGCTTCCCTCTTCCGCCTATGAGGACCGTCATCGAGATATTGGGTCCACCCAGATAATCCAGGATAATTTCCCTATCTTAAAGTCAGATGATCAGCAGCCAGAATTCCATGGGCAACCATAATTCCCGGTGGCCATGTAGAGTGACATATTCACAGGTTCTGGGAATTAGGACAGGGACATCTTTGGAGGGAGGGGCATCATTTTGCTTACCACAATAACCATCACCCTCAAGAGTTTCCTCCTGTCCCTCGTAAGCCCTTCCTCAGGCCTCTCCCCATTCTTTTATTCCCAGGTAACCACTGATCAGCCTTCTGTCACATTTTTTAGAGTTCCTATAGATAGAAGTATGTAATTTATATTCTTTTTTGTCTGGCTTCTCTCCTCCTGTCGGTATAATAATTCTGAGATCCATCCATGCTGCTCAGTGTACTGATCTCGGGGTCATGAGTTCGAGCCCCACTTTGGGGGTAGAGATTACTTAAGTAAATAAAACTTAAAAAAAAACCCTACTTCATTCCTTTTTACCGCCTTGTAGTATTCCACTGTATGGATATACTGTGTTTTATTTATCCATTTATTAATGATGGACATCTGATCCATCGACAGATGAATGGATAAAGAAGATGTGGTATATATATACAATGGAATATTATGCAGCCATCAAAAGGAATGAGATCTTGCCATTTGCAACGACGTGGATGGAACTGGAGGGTATTATGCTGAGCGAAATAAGTCAAACAGAGAAAGACATGTATCATATGATCTCACTGATATGAGGAATTCTTAATCTCAGGAAACAAACTGAGGGTTGCTGGAGTGGGGGGTGGGGTGGGAGGGATGGGGTGACTGGGTGATAGACACTGGGGAGGGTATGTGCTCTGGTAAGCGCTGTGAATTGTGCAAGACTGTTGAATCACAGATCTGTACCTCTGAAACAAATAATGCAATATATGTTAAGAAAAAAAAAAAGAAGAAGAAGGTAGCGGGAGGGGAAGAATGAAGCAGGGGAAATCGGAGGGGTTGACGAACCATGAGAGACGATGGACTCTGAAAAACAAACTGAGGGTTCTAGAAGGGAGGGGGGTGGGAGGATGGGTTAGCCCGGTGATGGGTATTGAGGAGGGCACGTTCTGCATGGAGCACTGGGTGTTGTGCACAAACAATGAATCATGGAACACTTCATCTAAAACTAATGATGTAATGTATGGGGATTAACATAATAAAAAAGAAAAATAAATAATGATGGACATCTGAGTCCAATGTTGATGGGTTGTTTACAGTTTTGGGCTATGACAAATAAAGATGCTCTGAACATTTATTGTTTACAAGTTTTTGTATGGGCTTATGCTTTCACTTCTCTTGGATAAATACCCAGAACTAGAATAGCTGGATCCCATGGGAGGTATATGTTTAACTTTTTAAGAAACAAACTTTGTGGGGCGCCTGGGTGGCTCAGTTGTTAAGCGTCTGCCTTTGGCTCAGGTCATGATTCCGAGGTCCTGGGATCGAGCCCCGCATCGGGCTCCCTGCTTGGCGGGAAGCCTGCTTCTCCCTCTCCCACTCCCCCTGCTTGTGTTCCCTCTCTCACTGTGTTTCTCTCTCGGTCAAATAAATAAATAAAATCTTAAAAAAAAAAAAATCATGCACTGCTTCTTTTTTTTTTTTTTTAATTTTAATTTTTATTTATTTATTTGACAGAGAAAGACACAGCGAGAGAGGGAACACAAGCAGGGGGGAGTGGGAGAGGGAGAAGCAGGCTCCCCGCCAAGCAGGGAGCCCGATGCGGGACTCGATCCCGGGACTCCAGGATCATGACCTGAGCCGAAGGCAGTCGCTCAACCAATTGAGCCACCCAGGCGCCCCATGCACTGCTTCTTACCAACTGGGTGATTGCAGACAAGCCAGTTAGCCACTTGGAGTGTCACTTGGAGTATCTTTAAATGAGGAAAATGAGATTTTCTTTTTCCTACAAAACTTACTTGGTTACCAGAGGCAATATTATTTTTATTTCTGTTAATTTTTGTTAATATCAGGGTTACCGATAAGTGATGTGATCATGGACTGAAATGTTACCCCCCACAAAATGCCATGCCTGGGGGAACTTATTTTCCCTTTTGAGGCAAACAGGAGGCTTTGTTAGTGCTCCCCACGGTGTAAAAGAGCGAAAATGGGAACCCTGGAGCATCGCAGCCTGCCCCCAACGTGTGTGGACAATCGCTGGCTCTTCAGGCGGGCCCACTCCTTTCCTATTTACTGAGCTTTGCAAGAGCATCACTCCGCTTCACACTCACCTCTGGTCAGGGAATGATTGCACTCCTCCCTTCACGAGACTTTCAGAAGTTGTGCTAAATATAAAAATGAAAATTAAAGAACCACCTGGTGCAACAAAGAATCTCTACTGCAGAGAAGTCGCTCACTTCACGTGGCATTCAATCACCCGCTCTCCGCTTTCCCTGCGGGGCAGGAAGTCGGCCCCTGAGAACCTGGCTCTCCTTCTTCCTTTCTGCCCCGCAAAATCCCAAATAAGCTTCACACAGTGGACGTGACTGAGTGACAAGTGCTCTTTTAGAATTTCCCTCCTCGAGAGCAGAGGCTGGACCCTGAAATTCTCTTACGCTCACCCCCAGAATAACGTTGCTTCCTCCTAGTTGTGATAAAATCCAGGAATCAGGTTATGGCCTTCACGGCATCACTAAGCCGAGCGGTGGGTGGGCATTAGGGGGGTGGGCATTAGGGGGATGGGCATTGGGGGATGGGCATTGGGGGGATGGGCATTAGGGGGATGGGCATTGGGGGATGGGCATTAGGGGGATGGGCATTGGGGGATGGGCATTGGGGGATGGGCATTAGGGGGATGGGCATTAGGGGGATGGGCATTGGGGGATGGGCATTGGGGGATGGGCATTAGGGGGATGGGCATTGGGGGGATGGGCATTGGGGCATGGGCATTGGGGGGATGGGCATTAGGGGGGTGTACATTAGGGGGATGGGCATTAGGGGGATGGGCATTGGGGGATGGGCATTGGGGGATGGGCATTAGGGGGATGGGCATTGGGGGATGGGCATTAGGGGGGTGGGCATTAGGGGGATGGGCATTAGGGGGATGTCCACCGTGGCCATCAAAAGCTGAGTTCCTGGCTGTCACCTGTGGTGCCGAACGGGACGCAGCTGAAGGGAAGGCAGTGTGAATGTCCTTAATGCCACGGAACTGTGCTGAAAAATAGTCCTATTGGCAAATTCTATGTTGTGTAAACTTTACCATAATAAGTATATGTGCTGCCAAAGGAAGCACTAAATTTTACCATAAGAAAAAGCATTTTTTAAAAAGAGCGTGCGGTGAGAACAGTGACAGGTCCAGAGGGCCGTGGCAAAAGCCCCCAGGACAGGAGAGGGTGCACGGGGAGGCTGGGGGCAAGAGAGAGGCCTCCTCTCCTTGGTGTGCGTCCTTTGAGGTTCTGTGTCGGTGCATGGCCAGGGGGACAGAAGGTGGCAGGAGGGGGCGAGAGGGAAGAATAACCTTCACCTCGCCCCAGCATTCCCTACCTTCCCCGCTGTCCGCTGCTGATCCCTGGCGCCCCACCGCCTTCCCCACTGTCCCGGGTGGTCACGGTGCTGACGTCCTGTGGCTGTTGTAATTATCCGAGGCTGAGGGGCTTGAAATAACACCGTGTTATCCCCTTATGGTTCCGGAGCTCAGAGGTCGACAGTGGGTCCGTAGGGCTGGTCCCTTCCTGAGGCTCTTGAAGAGAATGCATTTTCTTGCCTCTTCCAGCTTCTAGAGGCACCTGCATTCCTGGGCTCCTGGCCCCTCCCTCCCTCCATGCTCCCAGCCAGTGGGACGACATCATCGGACCTCTGACTCTGACCACGGCTTCCGCCCCAGGCCTCCTTCCCCTCCTCTGACCTTCCTGCCTCCTTCCTAGAAAGACCCTCGTGATGCCATCGAGCTTCCCCAGATAATCCAGGATCACCTCGCATCTCAAGATCTGTAACTTACACCTGCCTTTGCCACGTAAGGGTCACAGACTCACAGGTTCTGTCATTACGATGTGGATATCTTTGGTGGGGGGTCTTTATTCTGCCTGCTACACTCATCCTCTCCCTCCACTCAAGCTTGTCTTTTCCCAGAGGTCGTCTCCCAGGCTAACTCATCATGCAGAGTGCCTGTCCCAGCTGGTAACTTCCAGACTTTGAAAGCCCCCATTCATGCTGCTCATGCCTTATCTGGAACCCCGGTGGGAGCGAGGACAGTGAAACTACTGTTGTTTGCTGAGGGATTCCTTGCCCCCCGGCCTTCTGTCTCACTGATACGAATCCAGTACACGTAGATCTGAAATTCCCCATTGGCTCACCCACCAAAGGCGTTTGTCCAGGAAAGCCCTGAGACAGGGGGATCAAGTTCCAAACTATCACCATGCCTTGAGGGACAGTGTGGCAATGAGGGGCTTCCGTTGTCTGGCTTGAGTCAGCCCACCATTTTAGGACGTTCGTCTTCTGGGAAAATATGTTTTACCACCCAAGCAAATCACTTCCAAAATGCGGAGTCAGAAGCCAGCCTGGGTGTGTAAGGATGCTCAGCTGACATTTAGTACCACACAGCTAACCACCTGCAGCAAATCCATAAAATAACTAAGCAAATATGAAATGCACAAGGAAGACTGGGGAGAGGTTAAGGGACCAGCCTGCAGAAACCTAACGTCCATTTAGAGAAGCAGTTCGTGCAGTCAAAACAAACAAAAAATTCAGAACTGCAAATTATTTAATGAACCAAACATTTCCTCTGACTTGCCTGGTCCTGTCTTTCGGCAGACGTCACCTGAGAGGCAGAGCTTTTCAGAGTCAACAGTAGGTCACCCTTCTCATGGCGGCTCACCTAGAATGCAGTCTACTCTCACCAGCAAAGTTTTGAGGCACCGAGATTTATTTTCTAGCTGTCCTCTGTTCCTTTCTGGAACACTTGCTTTTCTCTGGGGCTGACATCTCCTTACTCTGGAGTCTGCTGGCTTAAAACCGTATGTTCTCTGCTAGATCATCGCTGTCCACACTTGATCTTAGCCAAAAGGCCGAGAAGCGATAGATCATCTCTGTCCAAACAAGGAGATTCCTGAATTCCAGAACCTCTGACAACTCTTCCCTCCATCTTCAAGACTCATCTGTGCCGTGTTGTTTGCTAATGCAAAAAAAAAAAAAAAAAAAAAATCAGCATAACAGGGGCCATCTGGGCAGAAAACAGAGGGTTCCTCACACTGGGCTTGTTTATAAGATTATGGACATGGCATGGGGCAGGTAGGGCTTCTCAAGCTTGTCCCCAGAAATGTATCCCCCACAGAGAAGTGCTCGAAAGTCTCACTGGATCCCTTTTTGGGTTGAGGCAGGGTTTCTCAGTCTCAACTCTATTGACATTCTGGGCTGGGTCGATCTTTGTGGTGGGGGCCATCCTTTGCATTGTGAGATATTTAGCAGCATCCCTGCGTAGATTTGGGACCCTAGAGCCAACTGGTAACCTTTAAATCGTGAAGACCTACAGACATTGTTTGCTGCCTGCACGAGTAACACCAACCTCGAGTAGCAAGATGCTTTCTGTGAGCTCTAGCTTCGCTTTGCTTGAAGTGCTCCAACGAGCATAGCAGAAGAGATGTGGCACCAAACTGTGGAAAGAGCCCAGATGTCCATCGACAGATGAAGGGATAAAGAAGAGGTGGTCCATATATACAATGGAATATTATGCAGCCATCAAAAGAAATGAGATCTTGCCATTTGCAATGACGTGGATGGAACTGGAGGGTGTTATGCTGAGCGAAATAAGTCAAACAGAGAAAGACACGTATCATATGACTTCACTGATATGAGGAATTCTTAATTGCAGGAAACCAACTGAGGGTTGCTGGAGTGGGGGGTGGGGTGGGAGGGATGGGGTGATTGGGTGATAGACACTGGGGAGGGTATGTGCTCTGGTAAGTGCTGTGAATTGTGCAAGACTGTTGAATCTCAGATCTGTACCTCTGAAACAAATAATGCAATATATGTTAAGAAAAAAAAAAGAAGGAGGTAGCAGGAGGGGAAGAATGAAGCGGGGGAAATCGGAGGGGTAGATGAACCATGAGAGACGATGGACTCTGAAACACAAACAGGGTTCTAGAGGGGAGGGGGGTGGGAGGATGGGTTAGCCTGGTGGTGGGTATTGAGGAGGGCACGTTCTGCATGGAGCACTGGGTGTTATGCACAAACAATGAATCATGGAACACTTCATCTAAAACTAATGATGTAATGTATGGGGATAATATAAGAATAAAAAAATTAAAAATGCAAAAAAAAAAAAAAGAGGTGGCACCACTGTTCATGTTTTATGTGTTGAATTGTGTCCCCTCCTCCCCCGCAAAGATATGTGTCCCATTCTCTAAGGCTTGTGAATGTTCCCTTCTTCAGAAATGGGGTCTTTGAAGATGTAATCGAGTTAAGATGAGGTCCTTCTGGATGAAAGTGAGCCTTCATCCGGTATGACTCCTATCCTTACAAGAAGCAGAGATAACAGATAGACATGCACCAAAGGAAGACGAGGTGAAGACCCTCAGGGGGACGAAGGCTGTCTGATGACAGAGACTAGGGGCATGTGTCTACAAGCCGAGGAACTCCAAGGATGGCTGGCTACACCAGAAGCTGAGAAGGGCACGGAACGGATTCTCCTCTCCAGCCCTCACAGGGAGCCTGGCGCTTCCATTATGATGCCATCCAGCTATGGGTTTGCTGCTTACCTTTGTCCAGGCCACACCTATTTGTGGGGTGGGTGGGCTAAGTCTTAGCCATCCAGGTGGGATGTAGTAAGCAACCAAAAATAAAAGTTTTTGTCTCTTGCTGGGAGGTGTTCATTCCGTGCAATTGTGGTTACCTAAGGGATGACACCTGCTTGTCTGTGTTCTTTTAAAAAGGGTGGGTCAGGAAGAAGGGTAAAATGGCAACGAGTCAGATTATTTGGGAGGTTGCTGTGAATTCACAGAAAAGTTCTGAATTTAAAATATTTTAAAACAATTACACTTTTATTATAATCAAGAAGTTAATAAACTGTCATCTTAAAGATGTCCTTTGAGGGCTTGCTTTAATGAACAAATGAGAATAATTAATAATTTGTGTGGCACTTTTGGGGAGCTTGAGGGGAAAAGAACCCGGTGAAATTAGATGCTAATTACCACACTAGAATCCAGGAGTATGTCTGGAATACCCAATGTCACATTTTTGGGATGCCAGCTAAAAATATCAGCACTACAATAGGGAAAACTCAATTTCTAGTTATCTAATATTTATTAAATGCATGAAAAATAATTTATTAGTTTTGTTAAAAGGAGAATTCAGAAGAATCCGTGCCAATTAATTTACCAGGGCTATATTTTAATAGACTTTCAAAAACACTTGTCCTGAATTAATTACTCCTAGACGGTTATTGAAAAAATCCTATTAAAGCTCAAAAGCCACCTTCCTGTATTCATTCACTTCCTGACAATGAATTCGAAGGTAATTTCAGTGTCACTGGCATGCAGGCTCCTCAGAGTTCACGTACAGAGTCACAAAGTCCAGTTCTCTTTTTCAGGCTAGAATATATACCGCTGGCCCCTCACTGTCTCCAGAACCAGCAGGCTTTATCTCCAATGTCTCTGTTTCCAAGTTTGGAATTTTTCTTTTTTCTTTTTTTTAAAGATTTTATTTATTTATTTGAGACAGAGAGAATGAGAGACAGAGAGCATGAGAGGGAGGAGGGTCAGAGGGAGAAGCAGACTCCCCGCCGAGCAGGGAGCCCGATGTGGGACTCGATCCCGGGACTCCAGGATCATGACCTGAGCCGAAGGCAGTCGCTTAACCAACTGAGCCACCCAGGCGCCCTGGAATATTTCTTGATCCCATCAATGCCATCTTTAGGAAATTCACAGCATGTGTTGGCTCCTTGATTCAGAAAATCTTTCCTCTCCTTCACCAGTCTCTCCACCTAGGAGTGGCTGTTAGGTAAAGAATCCAGCATCTCAGAACTGATATGCAAGTTGCATAGGATTTTAGGAGATGAGAATGTCTGTACCCATTCTTAGGTCTGGGTGGGCTGCAAGAGGCTCAGGAGGGGGCGCCTGGGTGGCTCAGTTGGTTAAGCGACTGCTTTCGGCTCAGGTCATGATCCCGGAGTCCCGGGATGGAGTCCCACATCGGGCTCCCTGCTCAGCAGGGAGCCTGCTTCTCCCTCTGACCCTCCCCCCTCTCATGTGCTCTCTGTCTCTCTCATTCTCTCTGTCTCAAATAAATAAATAAAAATCTTAAAAAAAAAAAAAAAGAGGCTCAGGAGGCAGGGCAAACCCAAATGTTACAACAAAGCGAAAAAGAAATACATAAATAAAAAACAAAAAGCAAATGAGCAAACCAATAAATAAATAAAACAAGAGGGCACTTATATTACCCAACGATGTGGTAAAACTGACAGCCCTAAACACGAAAGATCTGATTATCATTACATGTATGAAACAGCACGCATCGCATGGCACGTGCTATTTATATGCATGTAAATAGTTGTCATTGCTCCATGATCTGAAAAATATATTTATCTAGTCCCTGCAACGTTTGCACCATGAAAATGATTAGCCAGCCTTTTCTTCACGGACCGAGGTTCGCTCCCGCCCAGCTTCTGTCAAAACCATCATGTAATATAAATTAGTGCTGTCCAAACTCATTAGATCTTATTAATTACGAGCTTGCTGGTTCCTAGCAAGACACATACGAGGGATTTGAAACTCACCAACGTGTTGTAAACTCTGGAAGCAGGAAAGTTGAATAAGGCAGAGAGGAAAAACTAGAACACATGTTCACAGCTCAAAATCAGTATGGACAAAAATTTAGCTGGAATGTAATTAAGTGGGAGTTTCAGACCCCAAGGTATTACTAGACGGTTGGTTGGGTCCACTGGTCTGCAGCTGGCTTTTCCGGCAGCTGGGGTCCCGGCAGAGTAAGGGTGAGTGAGGGAATTGTATGCAGCTGACAAGGAGAGGTCTCAGCTTGAGTTGCTGGTGAGGATGGAAGCCCAGGGAGCATTTGGAACTGAGAACTTGCTCTGAGCTCAGGCTTGGCTCCGGATTTAAACCCACTCTGCAGAGTAGACCATTGCACGGCAAGACGCCCAAACATTTCCTATTCTCCATCAATTTGTGCAGGAACCCCACGGAGACAGGGAGCCACCACCCATGGCTGAGAGCACAGAGATTGGAGCTACTGCCTGGGGACAGACTGTGGTACATACTGACCCTCCCTGGGCCTCAGTGCTCTCGTCTGTAAAAGAGAGATAGAAATAGTATCTCCTTCAGGGGTTGTTAGGATTAAATGAGGTCATATTTGCAGAAGGGTTTAGGACAGTGGCAGGCTGATAATAAATGCTATACGTAGATGTTTGACAAACAAATTAGGAGGTGAGCTCTGGTCTGTTGTTTTAGGATGACAAACACAGGTGAGGAATCCTGCCACCTAAGCAAGCATAAAGGGATTATATTCTACTTTCTTTTGGTGGGGACCTCTGGGTCTTCTCTGCCATGGGGAATTGGCGAGAAGTGGGGGGGAAAGGAGGGAAAAGGGGGGGCGAGGAGGGGAAGATAGAAGGAGGGAGGGAGGGCGGGCATGCCCAGGGGCACACCTGGAGTCCTTGATGTCCCAACCACATGAGAAAGAGAGGAGATGTGTCCTGTGTTCATCCCTCCTTGCCCTCTGTCTCTGCGTCCCTCTTCCAGCCCGAGAGCCTCGTGGGCAGGGTCTTGCCCTCTGCTGGCTGTACACCTAGTTCCTTGTTGCCTGTTACCCAGTAAGGCTGAAGTCACTCCTTCCAAGAATTGCTGGTTCGTTCCCAGGAAATGTTGAGAACCTTCCACAGAGCCCTTGAGCATTCCGAGAACACATTACGAATCACAGGCCGTGCGGCAGGAGAAATCCGAGGCAGTGACCTGACCAGCCGGCTGTGTGATGGCCACCCACCAGAAAGGCTGGTCAGCTCTGTATCCAAAGACACTATCCTCTCGGCCCAAATACTTGAGCACGGGGGACTCTCGAACGTTCCAAAGTGACTAAGCATGTAGGGATCCAGAACAACCATGGCATGAAGCAGCCAGGGGACTGACTGTAGGATCTACAACGCTAGTGGAGCACTCCAGCCGGGGAGTGGAGCCGGAGGCATGGTTCCAGAAGGCTTCTGGAAGGACACAGAGCAGAGCCCACAGAATGGAATCGATAAGGAGAATCTGTGTCCTAAGATGGCCGACCGAGCCAGCAGGAGAGTCCCAGTCCTTGCCCCGGGGCTCTTCCGGGTTCTTCTCCCTGTTCTGCTTCCCGCGTGCGCACCAATCCGGGTCCTTCCTCCTGCCCCGCTTCACGCACGCGTCCAAAGTGCCAAGTATACGGAAGTAGAAGTGTATAAATTGCCCCCTTTGTTTGTCCTCGGGGCTCAGACCTTTGGAGACCACGCTCCTCTGAGCCCGCCGGCCTTAAATAAACCTCCTATCCTCCAAGATCTCCGGGTGTCGCTTGGATCTTCGGACCGGCCATCCAGTCCAGGTTCTGGAACAGAATCACAAGGCCTGCTGGGAGTGTAAAACACACACCCGATTTCAGAGACGCGGTCAAGCTGCAACATCTCACCCATCATTCTTACGTCGACTACAGAATGAAATGATTACATTTTTTAAATACTGGATCAAACAAAATACATTCTTAAAAATCATTCTACTTTTTACTTTTAAATGCTGGCTATTGGAAAATCAACTTTGGGGCTCATGTCCTCTTTCCGGCGGACAGCGCTGAACTGAAAATTTCTGCAGAGGAAAACAGCTCACAGCCCAAGAGCCAGAGACCAAAGGTAGGTGGATCCTCACGGGGCAGAACCGGAGAGAAAGTGCAGAGAGAAGGACATTCTGAGGGAGGGTCCAACGCAGGCAGCTCTCACTCAGGTAGAACAAAGAGGAGAGAACGAGCAAATTATTTACCACGCGGGGACAAAAAATACATACCTGGCATGGCTCTCCTGGGAAGCTCCTGGAGAATGTGTAGCAGAAACACAAAATAGCAAACCAAGGAGAGACAAGATCCAGCCTGGAGAATGGTTGGCGGGCGGGAGGGTGGTTTCAGGATAATAGCTGTGTGCCTGGTTTTAAGATCAAACCAGTGTGTTCCAGAGGAGGAGGGGGCAGGGCGGGCAGGGTGCTCTTTTTGGGGCGGGGGGGGGTGCAGATGAGGAGAGTCAGGTGCCTCTGTGAGTCTGAGCATTTGGCAGAAGCACCAACAGGCATTGGAACACATGTGGAAACAATCGGCATACATCTCTACAAAACCAAGCAATGGCACAAGACAGATGTTAATTCCAGAACGTGTTCAGAGTTGTACAAGAAAGGAAATGCGGCCATCCTTGCAGAGAGCTTAGGAAGCCGTAATGTAAAGACTAAACAAAAATCATAATATCTAGATTGAAGGGAACGGGAGGAGTTTAACTGGGGTTGTTAGCCCGCAAAATCCTCAGCTACCATAATCGAAGTCGACAAAATGAATAAATGAAGAAATAGCAGTATGTGCTTATTTTTTAGAAACATGCAGATAAATTGTAGAAGAAAGAGATAAGAGTAGAAAGTTGTAGCTTTGTGGGTGAATGGGATGAGGGTTTGGAGGGATGGAGCAGGGCGTTTTGATAATAATTTTTGACTGAACTATATGCATGCTTTCGTTGGATTTAATACGTATTTTTAAGTTCATGGAGATTCCTGACCAGGTAATCTTCCTTGTATGAAATGAGATTTCGCCAGAATTTGGGTCTTAATCGTCTGTTTTTTCCTTGTACCACATAAAGAAGCAAGTTTCAAAATAGTTGCCCTTACCAACCAATTCCCCACGTCAGTGGGTTCATGGCATCGTCTGTGGGCCACCTTAGTCCTCTCCGTCTCTTGTCTTTCCTGCTCAGAGACACCATGCCAGGTGCCTGCCCCTCGCCGCCAAGGCAGAAAGCTCCCCTTCCCCCGCAGCTCCTCTTGCCGTGAATTCTTCTCAGAATCCTTCCTCCTCCTGGCATTCCCCAGATGTAGAGGTCACCCCTCAGTGAGTTTACAGATAGAGGGTAAGACGCTAATGCATCCTTGGGATAGCATTTGTTAAAAATAAAATTTTGGTGTGCATATTTTAAAAGGACTCAGCGTGGATCCGAAAATACACATGGAGACTGGGAGGATACATGAGGGGACCTCTCACATCTCCTACTCTTTCATCCACTCAAGGAAACTTGGTTTTCAAGGGGGCTAACTTCTCCACCTAATTGCATCACTTTTTCCCCAGCTGCGTTTTTAGAGAAAGCAGTCTCACCTCTTGGATTTCACAACTGACAGGATTTGCCATGTATTCACTGGGAAAAAAGATCATCTTTTCTGTAGAGATGTGAGCACTTGAAGAAAGCTGAATTCTGACAATCTGATAGATTTTTCGATCACCATTTTTTTTTCAAAAATTTTTTTAAATTAATTTATTTATTTGAGAGAGAGAGAGTGAGAGACAGAGAGCATGAGAGGGGGGAGGGTCAGAGGGAGAAGCAGACTCCCCGCTGAGCAGGGAGCCCGATGCGGGACTCGATCCCGGGACTCCAGGATCATGACCTGAGCCAAAGGCAGCCGCTTAACCAACTGAGCCACCCAGGCGCCCACCATTTTTTTTTTTTAAAGATTTTATTTATTTATTTGAGAGAGAGAGAATGAGAGACAGAGAGCACGAGAGGGAAGACGGTCAGAGGGAGAAGCAGACCCCCTGCCGAGCAGGGAGCCCGATGCAGGACTCGATCCAGGGACTCCAGGATCATGACCTGAGCCGAAGGCAGTCGCTTAACCAACTGAGCCACCCAGGCGCCCTCGATCACCATTTTGAAGGGCTCCTATCTATATAGTCTCTGTGTCTCTGTCTTTCTCTGTGTCTCTCTTTTCCTGATTTGCAAGCTCATGCAGCCTTGTACAGATACACCCCAGCCCTGGAGACAGTCACTGCAGAAGCCAAGGTGCCTCAGGAAATGGACGATATTGGAATACCATGGGAACAATATGGTAATGGAATCAAAGACACCATTCTGGAAGAGTAGAGTGCTTGATGGCTATTCCTCCCGGCGGAATTGTTTCATGACTGTAAAGGCGGTAGAAACAAAACAAAGTCTTGTTTGGCAAACATTTGAGCCAGTGATTGAACTCATTTGAAAATGTATCAGAAGCATTTCAAGCAAGCAAAGGGCTAGCAACTGGCCACCCTTCCCCACAGAGGTGGCGTTTGGAAAGGGACACTTGTTATGTTCATCCGTGGAATGCTTTTGCTGATGACAATAACCTGTTTATCAACCGCCTTCCTGAATTTTTATTTTTATTTAGCGATACCATGGAACTGCTTTCCGTCTCTTTCCATCCATTAGAAGGAGTGTTGTGGTGGTATACATCAGTGCATATAATGATGCTTTAAGGTTTGCGACAGCTGCGATGTATGGTTCAAGTCTCACCCTGTCTCGCTGGCGGGACATTTCTGTTACTCCCCGGCTTTTCGTGTTTAAACAGTACTGTAGTGAATATCCCATGTATGAACTTGCACATTGGTAGCGCTGTAGGGGGATTCTGGAAGACGGGATCTTCCCGGGAAGAAAGTTAAAATGTTAGCGGATAAAGCCAAACGAGTTCCTTCATTTGAATCCTTCACATTTACCCTCCCTTTGGGGATTCTTCACCATTTACTGTTGACGCTTATGCATGGCCTAAGGAATATTAGGGCCAACAACAGATGTCTTTGAGCCCAGGTAGTTTGACTCCTGAGTTCATAGCCATTTTGCCCTATTGATAGGATAACTGGCCGAGGAACACACAACTGTGACATTATATTTTTGTAGCAGTCAAATGACGGCAGACAAATAAGCTTTTCAGAACGCATTCTGCAAATGCTGGTTGAACACCTACTCTGTTACAGTACTTTTCTGGTTGGTCAGTGGCAGCAGGGAGCATCCTTGTCTGTGCATTTGCAGAAGAGAATGAGAGAGCACCTGCTCGGTGCTTAACACAGGCCTCTGGGTCGGCTTCCGGCCATGGTGGGGACGTGGGGGCTGGCCTGCTCGCCGGGGCATCCACACCGACGGCAGTTTTACAGGGCCGGGCTCGCCTCCCTCTCGCCTCGACCCACGTGGGACCCACTATCTCCTTCTGGTGAGAACGAAGTAATTGAAAACTTGCTTTCTTACTCAGCATGGTTTTCCCCTGAAGCATGAAAATCGTTGCTAAATGTCTACCGTGGGCAACGAAAACCAACAGTGCAATCAAAACGTGGTGTAGACTTAATCTCAGAGGGTAGTACCTGCATTTTTTTTTTTACCTACTCATCATAAAAGAGTTGATTTCAAAACCACCCAGGCCGAATGACTACAGGCATGGGAGAGGGGCTTCGGGGGGTGGGGAGGCTATTTGACCAGTCTTAACAGATATCAGGTCCCAAGCACGGGTCTCAGATCTCCGTCCAAGAGGAAGCAGTTGGAAAGGAGCCCGAGCTCTCTCTACACATGTTGATTTTCTTTAGCGATGCTCAGCTCCGGGCAGCCCTGCAAAGCCACCCACACCGTCGTTATCCACCTCTGCCAGGCGTTCTCGTTCACATGGGCCCGGTTGAATGAAAGATGACACTGTGTGCTGGACTCCTTTGGCCCTTGACAGATACCTGTTGGAAGTCCTCTATCTTCCTTTTGTTGTTCTTAAAGCCAGATTTGGAACCAAGCACCGGTTTCCAGAGAAAGTCTGCTTCCGCCCCCCACCCCTACTGCATAGGAAAAGCTTATTCCTAATGTAGGCTTCTTGTATAAACTAAGGGGATTGAATCATGTTCAGTCACCAAAGCCGGGGTGTTCCATGACTTTTGGGGCTCACAGTAGGTCTCATCAGGAACTTGAACAGTTGGCGTGCAGAATGGTTTTCTTTGGAACTGGAATGTGGGGACAAAAATAAAACCATTATAAGTTCGTTGGGTACCCTCTGGAAATCTGGAAAACAGCAATCACTCCTGGGCATTATTGTAGAGAAATGAAAACTTTGGTTCCCACAGACACCTGTCTACAGCTGCTGAATTTGTAACGGCCAAAACCCGGCATCAGCCTGGACGATGCACAAAATACAACTCAGCAGTGAAAAAGAACACGCTCTTTATTGATACACACTGCAACTTGCATGAATCTCCAGGAAATTATGCTGACTGTGAAAAGCCAGTCTCAGAAGGTCACATATTGGGGCGCCTGGGTGGCTCGGTTGGTTAAGAGTCCAACTCTTGATTTTGACTCAGGTCATGATTTCAGGGTCCTGGGATTGAGCCCCAAGTTGGGCTCCTAGCTCAGCAGGGAGTCTGCTTCTCCCTCTCTCTCTGCTGCTCCCCCTGCTCGCTCTCTCTCAAGTAAATAAATAAATCTTTAAAAAAGAAAAAAAAAAAGATCACATATCGTATAACCCATTATGAAGCATCTTCACAATAACACAATGTGTAGAGAGAGGGACCAGATCCCTGGCTGCCAGGGGTTGGGGGACGTGGGGGCCGATGTCACTATAAAAGGGCGCTTCCCTTGTTGATATCTGTGTCTTGATAGGGGTAGGTTATAGGAATGAACCCACCTATGTTAATTTCCTGGTTTCGATCATGGACTACGGTTCTATAAGACGCCACTCTTGGCGGGAAACGGGAGGCGGGAATAAGAGATTTTCTGCACTACTTTTGCAACTTCCTGTGAGTCTGTAATTATTTCAAAATACAAAGCTAGAAAATCTTTGGTGGAAAATATTGGCTCCTAGGAAAATCATCTGTGAAATCTGTCGGATTAGTTCATTC